TATTGTATCTTCTTTTGATTATATTTTTTTAACTACATTAAATATTTCATCTTCTTTAGCTGACCAAAACAAACTCACATTGTTAGTCGGTGTAAAGGTGCACAAATAGAATGTAAATTTTTAATAAACGATTCATGATAATTTACCATTCCCAAAAACGAACGTAATTCTTTAAGATTAGATGGTGTTTTACAATTTTTTATAGCATTAATCTTATCTTCGGTCGGGTGAATTCCAAATTCATCAATAACATGACCTAAATAAATAACTGACTTTTCTCCAATTTTATTTTATCGGTCATCGTTGTCAGTCCAGCCTTATCAAATCTTCTTAATACTTCTTCTAGATTAACCATATGATCAAAATTATTCTCACCTGCAATAATTACATCGTCTAAAAATACACTAACCATAGGAATTCCCTTTAATAGGTTTTGCATAAAGCGTTGAAATATTATCGGATAGTCAACCCAAAAGGAATTCTTTGATATCGGTAATAACGACATGAGTCGAAATTACTAAAAGGTCTTTACATTCTGGACTAACTCCGAATTGTAAAAATGCATCTCTTAAATCTATCGTTGAAAATATTTTAACACCCGCGATCCTATTTGTCAGGTTGACGAAAGTTGGTATTAAATCGTTATCTATCGCTAAATATTTGTTGATTGTTAAGCGAAAATCTTCGCATATCCGCACGGCACCGGATTTCTTTAAAATATTAACCGTTGGCGTAGCCCAAGTAATTGTAGTCCTTGTTGGATCTACCTTCTCGATAACTCCTTCATCTAAAAGTCTGTCCATCTCAGCTTCAGCGGTTCGCCGCAAAGGAAATGAAATTCTTCTAGATGGCAACGCAATTGACACTGTATTTAGTTGTATTTTGATGACGACTTCCTGTAATTTTATTTGTCCTAATTTTTTTTTTTAAACTTGCGGAAATTTTGAAACAATAGTATTTAAACTGGAATCTTTTATATTTATATTATTAATACGAACTTCTTCAGGAAGTTTTAAATCAAATTCTTTAAGAAAGGGCATTCCAAAAATAAGGGAATTCACACCCTTAACTACCCAAATAGGTAAAAATTTTGAAATATTTTTTACTTCGACTTCCACTAAACATTTACCCAATACTTTGATTTTGATATGGTTATATCCTACTAGTTTATAAGCAGGTGATAATGGTGGTTTGCCTATGCGACTCCAGGTACCTTCATCTATTACACTACACGCAGCACCAATATCAAATTCCATAAATTTATCTTCGCGATTGTAGCTTTATCAGCAAATGACAGGCGAGGTGTCCGTGGTAAAATTATTTGTATAGCATGCGTTCTACACTCTTTCGCTGTGGTTTGCCTTTCCGCACCTAAAGCATATTACTTTTTTTTGGCTGCAATTAGGTTTAAAACTTGATTTATAATTATTATGGTTGAATTTGTTAGCATTATAATTAATATTATTGAATTTATTAACGTTATGATAATTATTATTCCTAAAATAAGTATATTTGGAACCTTGCGTAGCCTTATGTTTAATTATTTTATTAACTTCTGCCAGGGTTTCCATCTCCAATGATGACAGCGAAATCGCTAAGCGCACAGTAACTTCAAAAGTAATATTTACTTCGATATATTTTGACCGAAGTTCTTTGTCCAGCTCAGGCAACCCTACTCCTAATATAAAAATATCTCTTAAGAGTTCATCAACCAACAATTTAAAATTACATAAAAAGCAAATACTTTTCAATTTGATTGAAAAAGATAATAGTTTCACTGCCTTTTTTTTAAAGTATAAAAATTATTTCGATGCGATGTGGAAAAATACTCGAAAAATCTTTCAATATTTTTTCTAAATTGTAGAGTAAAATTGAATAATTAATGTGCTCTAAATAATTAGAATAGTGAAAAATTTTTATTTAATTAAATTATCAGTGCCTATATATGCTAATAATAAATCTTTTTTAAATTTTGATCAACAATATTTTTTATTTTGAAGATGAGTTCTTTATTATATATATAAGACTTAAATATTAACTTTTTCTTTGCTAATTCTGGACTATGAAATTTAGTAGGTGCTGATTTTTCTTAGCTTTTATTCAGAAATATCTTCTTCGAGTCTTCGTTAGGCATAGTATAATTTTAACCTTTATATTTAATACGTAAATAATCGTCACCAATGAAATGAAGTGATTTATTTAATGTAATAAAATATATTATATGTTTATAATAAGAAAATATATATCCATATATACTTTGACGAAATCGTTTGTCTATTAATCTATTACAATAAATTTTAGCTTAAAACCTACGGCATTAAGAATCAATCACTCATTTGCAGTCAACGATTCAATAAAATCCTCTGACAATAATTGAATTGAAAATATGATGCATTCGATATGCAAAATATAGATCAAAAATTATACTCAAAAAAGGAAAATCTTAATTTTTTTATGGTTTTACTAATAAAAAAAATGTTTTTCAATTGCTTACCTACTATCAAACTGGCTTTTCGTCACCGCTTTTTGGTATACTTTAATAATCACAATATTTGATAAATCTACACTGCAATTCCTGCCATTATTTGGTTTCTTATTGAAACTTATATCAATGATTATGACGCATAATTAATTATTTTATGTTCGACCCGTTTAGTAGTTATTATATTAATTTAAAAAAACTTAATTGGCGAAATAAAAAAATATCTAGATAGGCATCCTGCTAGAACAATAATTATCATAATCTCTTAAAATCTGGGTGCACCAATATGTAATACCTGATTATACTAATTCCTCAATCAGTTTTCCAGTAATAAACAAATACTAATTATAAGCCAAATAAAAACTATAATGGCAGCCTTAGGATGAGTCCTAAATATCGGATTTTAAATTGCGATTCAAAATCAATTATAAATATATATAATAAGGTTTCTGTTTCTCCAATCAGTGGCGTTGCTAGGGAGGGCGCAGAGGCTCAAGCCCATGAAAAATTTGAATAGCCCCCTAAAGCAAAAAAAATTTTTTTTTAATGGAATCTTAACCTCTTGAACTAAAAATAAATTTTTTTGATTGCCCCCTGAAAGATTTCTTTTATAATTCTATTAAGTAAAATATAGATTTAATTTTATTATTTAAAAATCAATAAAACTATCTAAATATTTATTAAATAAATACTATTTTAAATTTTGGATTAAATTAATTAATACATATAAATTATATTTTCACTATATCAGCTATCAGTCAAATTTTGTGTTAAAAATAGAATATCAACATCACTCACTAAATATTAATTTAGCATTAACAGTTGAAGTTTAATAGACTATTATTATTTAAATTATTTATAACCCTAATTAAATAAATATAATCATTTATTAATTGGAAACTAAAAAATTTAATATTGTAAGCAGAGTTCAAAATCACTAATCAACTGTATATTTATTTTTAAATTTTATTATCATACCTATTCCTAAAAATATTTTCAAGGTCCAAATAAGTATAATAAAAAGTAAGTAAGAAGACATATAGTTTATAATCCTCTATTATATACAGTTGTTTATAAAATATTAGATAAAATGCCACTTTATTAGACGTATTTGACAGTTATAATATATTACAGCTAATATTATGATGAATTTTACTAATAAATGCTTTTAATACTAAGTATCAGTGGCGTAGCTACGGGAGGGGGGGGGGGGTTTCGGGTTTGGAGCCCCCCCCCAGAGCAATTAATTTTTTTTTAGAATATTCGTTTAAAAGACTCAAAAGTGACTTTATATCAAATAAATACCATGAATATTTATATTTTTCAGGTTTTGATGTTTGTGGAAGGATATTATTACTTTTAATTTTAAATATATATATAAATTATTCTGTATATTATTTTAAAGTCATTGATAATAATCTATTAATTTTAATAATATATTATTGATGCATTTTTAAAAAAATATTTATTATAAATTATCCAAGATATGGTTCGATAATAATAATATGAAATAAAAATTATCCAAGATATGGTTCGATAATAATTAATATGAAATAAAAAAGTGCATAATCTACCCCCCCCCCTCAGAGCAATTTTTTTAAGATTATTCGTTCAAAAGACTCAAAAGTGACTTTATATCAAATAAATACCATGAATATTTATATTTTTCTGGTTTTGATGTTTGTGGAAGGATATTATTACTTTTATATATATATAAATTATTCTGTATATTATTTTAAAGTCATTGATAATAATCTAATAAATTATAATAATATATTATTTATGCATATTTAAAAAAATATTTATTATAAATTATCCAAGATATGGTTCGAAAATAATAATATGAAATAAAAAAGTGCATAATCTACCCCCCCCCCCCCAGAGCAATTTTTTTAGATTATTCGTTCAAAAGACTCAAAAGTGACTTTATATCAAATAAATACCATGAATATTTATATTTTTCTGGTTTTGATGTTTGTGGAAGGATATTATTACTTATATATATATATATAAATTATTCTGTATATTATTTTAAAGTCATTGATAATAATCTAATAAAATATAATAATATATTATTTATGCATATTTAAAAAAATATTTATTATAATTTATCGAAGATATGGTTCGAAAATAATAATATGAAAATAGTGCATAATCTACTTTCTCTGCTTTTATTTCTAATAATATATATTTGGTTTATATTTTGTAGCATTTTTATAAATGAAATTATTAAAGAGATTAAATTTATGACTAAAAAGTAAAGATTGTTATTTCCTATTTACGAACTTTAAGATTGAAGGAAATGGACATTATAAAATATTTACTAAGTAACAAAAAAAATTTACCAGCTAATATCTCATGCAATTTATGCCCTGTTGAAAATGATAAGCATGATGTAAATACACGAGGTTAAAAAATATTTAATCCAGTGTACTAATTAATATCTTATGCATTATAGGCTCTATTGAAAATAATAAGGATGATGTAAATACACCAGGTCAAAATAACATTTAATATAAAAGATATTTAAAATTAATAGCTAACTATTTTTATTTTAGAATTTAAAATTAAACACCTAGTCATAGTTTTAACTAAATTAAAATTGCCAGTACAAACCACTTTGGGTAATTTATTATTTTAAATAATTTTGGCTAACCAAAATATTTTGACATTTATAAGATATACCCAAACGTAGGAGGGAAGAAAATGATCTTGATACACTCATTTATATACCCAAAGACCATATAAAATCACTACCTAGTACAAGTAATATAATCTATTAAGATTTAAATATTTTTTATTATAGATTTAGATATATCAAGTATTACATTTAATAAAAATGATGATAGTCAACAAAATGAACATACCAAATCACTAATTAATATAGAAAATCAAAATTTTAATGATGAACTTGATATCATAAGCAACAATTTACCCCCCACATCAGGTATTTTATAATGACCTTATTTAAATGAATCACTAATTAATATAGAAAATCAAAATTTTAATGATGAACTTGATACCATAAGCAACAATTTACCACCCACATCAGGTATTTTATAATGACCTTATTTAAATGAATCACCAATTAATATAGAAAATCAGAATTTTAATGATGAACTTGATACCATAAGCAACAATTTACCACTCACCTCAGGTATTTTATGAACTTATATGACCTTATTTAAATGTATTCATTTAAATTTTAGAAATACCTAGATACTCTATAAAAAATTATGATAAAAATAAGCTAAATACACTTGATCACTTCAAATCTCTACCTAGTAAAAGTAATGTTAACTATTACCTTTAAATATTTATATCATAATTTTAGGTATATCAAGTATCACATTGAAGAAGAATGATAGTAGTCAACAAAATATTATAGGCTGTATCAATTTAGAATTTAAAGGTTATCTAATATGTTGTTTTATTTTAATTTATTTTTATAGGAATATCTCAATTAATATTCACACCAAGGGGTAAAAAAAATAGTGATAACAAACAAAAAAATACACTAAGTCACAACAAATCACTATCTAATAAATGTAATGTAATCAATTACTTATTAATATTTACATTAAAATTTTAGATATATAAAAAATCTAGGGAGAATTTAAATGAAAATGAAGTTCCACTCATGTCAGGTATTAGTCTTATTTAAATTATATTTATTTAAAATCTTAGCAATTCCCACATACTCCAGAAAACTAAAGGATAATAGACAACCAATTATACTAGATCATTAAGAACCATCACCTACTACAAGTGATATAGTCTATTACTTTATACTTATAATAATCAAAAGTTGGTTCCAAAGCTAACATGTCATCTATGATTATTAGCCTAGGTTTCTCAATATTAATTTTAAACATCTATCATATATTGGTAAAAAAATATTGCCAACACAATTTTGATTTTTTCACTTTGAAGGATATCGACTTAAATTTACAGTTTAAAAAAAACATTTATTTTTTAATCTATAGTTTTAATGTGTTTACTAATTATAAAATATATCATTTATAATTAAGGCAATATAATATTTATAATTAAAGCAATTTATATGTGTAATACTAATATTTATAATTAAGGCAATATAATATTTATAATTAAAGCAATATAATATTTATAATTAAAGCAATATAATATTTATAATTAAAGCAATATAATATTTATAATTAAATCAATATAATATTTATATTTTAAATAATCGCTTTTTATTTGTAAATAACTTCTAAAATTATAATAAAATGAAACGTATATCAATAAAATTGTGTCAATGTGTTATTTTAATTAAAATTAGTGGCTCAATTTTAGCCGATATGGCTAACTCAATATATTAGCCAGAAAATTTTGCTCATGGAGATACAAGTTTTATATTATTCGAGAAATCTCTAGGCTTGAACAATATTTTTTGGCAAAAATATTGAGTTAGCTGTTTATAAAAATCAGCTCAAGTCGAGCCGTTTAACAACACTAATTAAAATAATTAATAATTCTAGGACTTTTATATTATAAGAAAAACCAATATGATTAGGCTTTTATATATGGACCCCCTCTAAGGAAAATTCCTAGCTACGCCACTGCTAAGTATAGTAACAATTAGCTTTTAGATATTTAACGCCATCTATTTAGTTATAAATAATTTTAAAAATTAAATATTTTATTATTCATTCTACAATAGATGTAATAAATTTGATATCTTTTCTTTTTTACGTTAGAAAAGCTATTTTTTCTTTTTCAAAAAACAGTTTTGAGTTAAATTTTTAATGAATTTTTGATATTTTTACAAACTCCTATTATTTTAAGATATAATATACCAACTAGAGGCGGTGCGACAATATATAAAATTTTAATTGTTTCATCATATCATTCTGGTCCTTATTTTATAGTTTCAAAATGTTTCATTTCTAATATGGCATCCTTGCCGTGTAAATAACTCAAGGCTTCAATATATTTGCACAATTTTTTCTTCCAAAGATTTTTAGTGTTTTTATTTTATCAATTTATCCAACATAATAAAATCTGATAGTAGTTTACATCGTGAGTGTCATGGCTATTACTGCAAATTAACCAGCATCTATTATTTTTGTTGCTATGTAATTTAAGATTATTACGGCTGAGAGCATATGATTGCATATTTTAGGTTAACAATAATGGTCAACTGTGTAGTCGTTTATATATTATATATCATCATTTAAAATGGATGATAATCTTTTAGAAATTTAATATCTCACAATAATTTTCTCGATTACTTATCAAGCTACCATCATGTCATCTAAAAGGAAGCTCTAACCACTTAATAGTTTTATGATTTGGATTGCTCGTTTATACTCTCCTCTTCAAGAATTGTTGATTTGGTTTAGGCCTATAAATTTTTCCTTATTAGTCCATTCTATAAATGTGTAAAATGATAACAGAGAGTTATATTAGTTTGATAACCTTTTGTCAATGTAAGTTGCTAAGAATTATATTATTGCATTATATGGTTTTTAAAAACTATTATCAATTGAGGCATATGTATGAATTAATTAATCTTTTTTATCACTTGTAATTCTTTAGACGCAATTTTTTTTTATATCAGCAATCGAAAATATTTTATACTGTAATAAATAGATTTTGTATTAAAAAAATCTATTTTTAGAAATGTCTTGTATTGTTTTAATTATTTATATGCCAGTTTATTTTGTATGCATAATATAATAAATGAGAAAATTAAAATTCAGAATAATTGTTCTGAGTTAACAAATTTAAAAAAAGTATAATATATTAATATAAAACCCGGCCGTAGGCCGGGCAAACCCCCTTCCCCTCCGTAAAGATTTTTTAGTTGAGCCCCCTGAGATTGTAAAGGCTAGCGATGCCCCTGCCTCCAATTCAAAATATTTTTGAAATTATAATGATTCTACTATTTTTATGATATTTTTGTTCTTTTAGATATGTAGCTAATAAAATAATTAAATGAATCAAGTTATATTTTTAAAATTTGAATCTCATATTTATTAAGATACAGGTTAGTCCAAACTTTTGAAAGCAGTAATTCTAAATCTTATGCCAATATATTATAATGAAAAATTACTATCTTCATTATAAAAAAAATCAACATTTTATTAGTGTTTTAAAATATGAAACTCGATACCTCTATTAATTTGGTACTTTATAATTTAGTAGAGGTAGCATAAAGGCAGTTAAATTATTTATGGCATCATTGGAAATTGTGATACAAAATAAGTAGCTTAAAGGATTAAGGATGGTTTAGTAAAACAAAGTGCGCTTTTACATTTGGAAATAGAAAAGGTCAAAACCCGATCCCATACGAATTATGGCGTCTTCGGAAAGCGTCTCGTTCTTTATATATAATTTATAATCAACATTTTTTATGTTAAAATTTGATTAAAAGTTAAATGTGTAGTATTGTTAATTCATAGATTTTTCACTCACGTTTTTAAATAAAGTAAATAATAAAAATATTATAGAAAATTAAGGAGTTAGTTTTATCAATTTTAAAGAAATAGCAAATTTTCGTCTAGATACCTTAAAAGTATTTTGAAAACACAAAATCTCACCAAAATATATTTTCACTGGGGAGAGGGGGTGGGATCAACATAAGTCCGCCACCCATTGTCTTTGCCACTCCAATATGAGAATCTGAACTCCTCAGTGTTTATATGTTTTTCAGGCATTACGCATTAGTCATGCAAAATCGCTTCATTTGTGCAGATTTTAACGGCTAACTTGGTATTTCATCTAAGTAAAATATTACTCGAACCTGAAGAATTTGCTCATAGATGGCATAAAAGTATTGACATCCGTTAGCAAAATCTCCAGGCTTATGGGTTATTTTACTGGCTAAAATATTGAGTTAGCCGTTTTTAAAAATAGGCTCGAGCTATTTTCATCACTATCCCTCTCATGACCTCTTTTTCTGAAGTTAGTCTACATGAGGAGTTAGCAAATGTTAGCTAGCAAGCATGGATATGGGGGTAGGATTAGCATAGATTTAAAAAGGGTTTAATAAACGTTGGTCATTAGATTTATTTTTTTATGAATATTATAAAGCATCCTAGTGATATAATGAGAATAAGGTTTGGTTAATGCATAATTATCTTGTGGTATGTGTTTTATTTCCAAAGGGAACCATTTTCAGAAGTAACCTAATACCAATAGTGAGCTGAGGGCTAGAGAAATGGCTGCAAGGGAGCATGGCCATCGTTCGGGTTAATAAAAAAAAGTTATAATAAAATAGTCATTACTTAGTAAACTCTGCATGGATACAGGGGTAAGATTATTACATATTAGAAAATGGTTTAATAACTCAGTTATCATTTTAGATTATATGAACATCTAGAAAACTAAAATGTATACCATATTAATAAATTTATCACAAATATTTAATCTATGTAGGATAAATTAATTTTTTCTAAAAGAATTCCCCTTCTAAGCTTTAAATTTATTTCAAATTAAATTGGGGTACTTTTGTTTAGAATTTGTCAGATTTATGTGGAAATAATATTTTAAGAGGTATTCTGATAATTAACTATAACTTCAATAAAAATTGCATTAAATGATAAATTATGTTTATGAATAACATATATAACAGTGGCCTTGCTGGGGGATGAGCCAAAGCATGTCTTAGAAATTTTTTCTAATTTGGAATGCCTAAATTTTATATTTTAGCAAGCCTAAATTTCTTATTTATTCAATATTTTAAGTATCATTCATTAACATCTTAATATCCTGGTAATAAATAGTATATCAATGAGATGTGTTGGTACAGATACTTAATATTGGCAAATATATTTAATATAGATTAATTTTTTTAAGCCTACATTAAGCTATGAATTTATAAATAAAGTCATCTACTACTAATTTGATTTTTAAACTGATTGAAAAAAGAAAAAGCTTTTATTTGCTTATACTTTTAATTAAATTTATTTTTGCAAATTAATTGAATTATATCATTGCATTTATTTCAATAAATGCTATATATATAGACCTATATGCTAATGAAAGAAGTGGCAGCAGCTTTTTATTATAATACTATTAACAATCTAAATTGCACCAATTCTAGGCCATCATTTATATCAAAGAGTATCAAAATTTCATACCTTAATTTTTTATAGGAAAACTAAACCAATAATTAATTTGAAAAAACTTTGGCCAAATAAACTTAAATACAGATATATTCAAAATTAATTTTAATTTGTTTAAATTTGAAGAACATAATGAGGAATTTCTTGAACTTAAGGTAAACCAAGCACCTGAAAACACATGCTCACTAAGTGCTTATAGGTGAGACACATGATATTTTTATGCTAGAACTGCAAATAGGAAGTTCTTATTTCTCTTTTTCCAAAAATATAAAATAAAATCTATGAAAGATAGAAGAAAAAATAACAAATAATATTCTTGTTATAACTCTTTCAGAATATTGTTATATACCTGAGAATTAGTTGAATGTTTACCAACTAATTTTTGTATATATTTTATGTTGTTAAAGTATCTAGTTAATTTGTTAAAAATCATCATTTACTAACTTTTGTTTTTTGAAATATAACAATTAACAACTAATCTTTTAAAATAGGTAAAATAATATATATATATCTTTTAGATGATTTGTCAAACTTAAAATTACTGTTTATTAAATAATGGCCAACTCTTGCATAAAATGTTCTAAGAACATTTGTTTAGTCTAGAGTATATTATTTTTGGAGAAAATTAGCACATTAGAAATAAATTTTGAAAAAGGTTATTTACTTAAATTAAAATTAGTTAAGCTAAAATTATGAAAAATAAATATCACAATAGAATATTTATTACATCTTTTTGGTGCAAATTATATTCTATTATGATATATTTTTTCAATGTCAATAATTATCTGGTAAATTTTTTTCAATACAATGATTTCTTTTTTGCCCAAGCCTACCCTATTTTTAATTTTTTAGCTCAACTTCAGTCTAGGTGAACTTGTAGGGCTCTAATGGATCCTGGGCTAGATTTGTCTTAGTTTTAAAGTATTGGTTCCAAACTCTGCCAGGAATATTTTAGTTAAGAGATTTTTAAAAAATTAATCATAAAATAGGAACAATAAATAGTTTATTTTATTATATATATTTTAGATATTAAATAAATACTTTATAATTATTTATTATATATATAAAAATGTTTGATTATAAAAAAGACATTCAAATTAAATAGATAATCTTGATATTATAATCAAAATTCTTTCCAACTAATATTAACATATTTAATAGTTACAATGATTGAATATTTTTTGCTAATTGCTGATATTCACTTATAATAGTAAACAAACTTATTTTTGCTTCCATTTTTTGGTTTTCAGGTAGTTTTTTAAGTTCCCCAATTAATGAAAGTGCAAAATGTCGATCTGAGTCCTTTTCTAATTCGAATAATTTACTTTAAAATATTTTAGTTATAAAATATTAACATATCGAAAATCATACCAAAGTGCTTCATCATAATTATCATCTGTTTTAAGTTTTTTAAGAAAATTTTTGCAAGAATTGTCATCAGATGGTGAGTTTATCAGTGATAAAATTTCCGTCATGGAAACATCACTGAATAAAATATATTAAATTTCCATTTTAATTTTATATAATTACTAGGAAGCCTCATTCTCCATATGGACCATGGAGTCGTTGGGGATTCGTTTGAAAAATATTAATTTTGGAATATACTGAGACAATCATAAAATTGGATAACGTGAACTGACAGGAAAACTATCAAATATTTATATGAATTATAAAAATACTAAATTTATACTGCATAAAATAAAAATAAAGCTAGAATAAAACGAAATTTTGTAGATTTTTTAGAACAGATTGTAGCAGTGACGAAGCGTCAAGTTTACTACTAGGGAAGCAATCAAAAATAAATTTTATTTTTATTTTAGTCAAACTCAAAAACCATAAAAACATTAAGATTTATAAATAATTGATATTCGTCCTTGTTTTTGAGTAAAATGATCAAGTACTGCATTATAAAAGTTATCGCTATTTAAGTTTTTTAATAATTTTTTTTCAATCGAAATCAAAGATAGATTCGATAATCGATTTTGGCTCATCCTGCTTCTGCAATAAGATTTGATTCTTTTTAAAGATGAAAAACTCCGCTCTGCACTTGCTGTTGTTGAAGCCAAAGTTAAGATGAATTTACATAATTTAAAATTTTTTTTATCAAATCGATGCATATTAAAAATTCAAGTATTTCATTAACATTCTTTTTCTTTCTAATTTCAACATCCAGAAACACTACCTTTAATTCGATTTTCAGCGTGTGTAAGCCGAAAAATTGAGAATAAGTGTCGTTTAAATTATCTAATAAATATTTTTTTTATTATTTGGAATTTACTAATATCTACCAATTCGACATATTTAATATTTTTTGGTGTAATACATATGTAATAGAATTAATCAAATTTTGAATATTGCTTGATAGCCAATAAAAACTGCACTATTTCTAAATAATGTTTCAATAGTAAATTTTCTTCCGCAAGCAAATAAATTAATTCAATATAATTTCCTCTATTTACTGAATTAGAAGATTCATTATCACCACGGAACACGAGCTCCTGAATTCCAAATAAACATATAGAGTTTATCAATATTTTTAATATTTCTCTATTTTATTTAACTTTAGAATTCTGCTGTTCGATTGATATTTTGCGCATCGAATCTATCATATTTTCAATACGATGTTGGCCAAATGTTTTTAATTGAATCATCGACTGCAAATGAGCGGTTAATTCTTTGCCGTTTAACTGCCTTTGAAAAATTATTCATATCCGATTATCACTCCAATCATATCTTTACTTTGGGAATAATAGACCAACAATATAGAGAATTAGAAAATTCACATCCAGTGAGCCATTCATATTTTTCATATTTATCGATAGAAAAATTACGGATGCAAGTTTTGATTTCTTTTTTTAAGTTTTGTAAAATTAGTTTTGGTCCTTTTTCAATAAACAATTTTTTCGCATCAAAATTTCTTGAGCTAAATGATAATGTTAGTAAATTTTTAATAATACAATTACAATTATTAAACATTAACTAAGGATTTTAAAAACGAATAATTTTTTATTTTAAAAAAGTAAGGAAAAAAATATTTTATATAAAAATTTCTTTCTCTTTTATTTATTAAAAAAATAATTTATTTATTTCCTTCCCCAATGCTTATTTTTTAATGGTAAAATTACACAATACCATGGCATGATTTTCTCTTTATTTATTAAAAAAAATAAGCAATATTAAATTTGCTTCCCTCATGTATATTTTTTTTAACGTAGTAAAAATAATAGTGAATTTTTTAACTTAGTAAAAATAATAGTAACTTTTTTAACGTAGTATAAATAATAGTATTTCTTAATATAATAAAAATAATATTAATCTTTTTAACATTATAAAAATTATATTAATCTTTTTAACGTTATAAAAATTATATTAATCTTTTTAATGTTATAAAAATTATATTAATCTTTTTAACGAAGTCAGTTTAGTTTATTTAGCATAGTACAAAGATTATATTAAGTTTATTTAAAAATTTTGTAAGAAAAATTTCAACACTAGATTGTAGTAATCTAGGAATTACGTGTATATTGAAAAATATAACATATAAAGATAATATTGATATAATGGAAATATAAGTATGAATATATATAAAATCAGTAGCGTCACTAGAAGGGGGGGGGAAGAGCGCAAAGGCTCAAACCCCCCTAAAAATTTTGAATAGCTTGCTGAATAAAGAAATTTTTTAATGGCCTCCTGATAGCCCGTTAAATGGGGAAAATTTGACAGCCCCTCTAAATGGGAAAAAAAATTGATACCTTTCTGAACGATTTTTTTAGAATTCTATTATTTATTATATATAGATTTGATATTATTACAAAAAATTATTAATACTATATAAAATCTTTTTTAATGAGTAATACTTTTGTTATTAGATTAATAATATAGATTGTATTTTCATTATGTTAACAATTGTAAAAATTCTGTGTTAAAAATGGAATATTATTATCACTCATAATGCTAAATATTAATCAAGCATTAAAGGTTGAAGTTTATTTGAATTATTTATTAATTGAAAATAAAATTAATACACTTTAATATTTAATTTGGGTTAGCCGAAAACATTAATTAACTATACTATTCATTTTTAAATTTAATTTACTATTCTTATTCCTAAGAAAAGTTATAAAATCCAAACTACTATATAAAATCTTTGTTAAAACTCAGTATATTTACGTGATACGTGATATATAGCGCTTTTGCCCTCTAACGTTGAAGATTCAACAGAGCTACGCTAGGTTTTTCTCATTTCCATCTAATTGGAACAATTTAATTTGGGTATAAAAATAAAAATATGAGGAGCCCTCCACACGTTTGTGGGCAAGCCGCACGTACTTGTAGGCACAGCATTTCGAAAAATGTTGCTTAAACCTCTATAGGCTTTAATTTAGAAGGAGTGGGACAAAGAAAAAGCCTATACCCGAGAACTACAGTATAATTTAATTACTTTAAAGGTGGGTGATGGCTGATTTTAAGCTTAATTTCTTTAATGTAAGTTATATCTGTAAATAAATATGATTAAAATAAAATAATATTTACCACCGGATGAACCGAACCCATCTAATACCCAATTTTAATATTATCACTCAGTATATTTAATTAAACTATCTTTTATTCATTTATTTTATATTTATTAGAATGAAGAAAGAAAATATATTGAGTTTGAGATGAATATTTTTAATGTTGGAACTAAAAGCAATTTGATGTAGATATATTTTAGATAGAAAAAGAAGAGACAATGAAAAAGTTGGAGCTCAACATAGTTCATATCTATATTATAATTTTCCGATGTCCTCGCTATGTCATCGATACGTCATGTTATCGTGACAACATATCATCGGTATGTATTTATTTATTTTTATTTAAAAATATCAAAAAATAATAATAATAAAATAAAAATAAATATGTGATTTTATCAAAAAAAATATTCTAAATTCAAATCAACAGTGTTCAAGTAAATTTAATTATAATATATATATGTGATTTCCAGTTTTCTAACCTATCCTAATAAAGTATGCACAGTTTTTCATAAAATCATTCTATTCTAAATTCAACTAGTATTTAATTAAATTTAATTCTAATGGGTCCCATGAATTTTAATTACAATGTTGTGCAGATTTGAAGTAAAATATGATATTCAAGTAAAATTATAAATAATGGGTCTCACATGAAATTTTAATTATAGTGTGCAGACTGGAAGTAAATTATATTATATTTAAGTAGAAGTAAATTATATATATGTATTAGATATCAATTAGAAAGACACATCTAATGGTGACTACTCTGGGTGTTCAGTGCATTTTTAAATTTTCTTGTTTCAGTCCCTGTTTTAACCTTTCTTGATTGTACAATTGCTGATTTATCTGTCATTAATAAAAGAAAAAGATAGCAGGTATTCGTTCCAGATATTGTGAAACTCAACAAAATCTACCAACAATGCAAAAAAAATACACCAATGTTTTTCTTATACTTTTCTTACATTTTAGATTACATCTATTTTAGCTAAAATAATATTGACTTCTCTGAGGTTTAGTGCATCATTGTTTTTTTAAATTTTCTTTTATTTTTATTTTAGAAAACAACACTGTCTTAACATGATTGTACAAATTTTGATTTATCTGTCATTGCCAAACAAAGAAAGTGGCAGTAATCAATACCAAAATAATCTACCAATCATGCAAAATAAAGTTAGTCATCATCAACGTCTACATGACAGGATTTTCACTAGATGTAAACCCCCTTCAAAAACCTATGCCTACCCCCCAATTTCCGCCGCCTTCTGCAGCGATGTTTCTCCATTTTTAATTTCACCTTTTTAATTATAATGATACTCTTTCAGAAAATTTAAAAAGAATAACTTAAATTATTTTATCTCTACTTCCAACTTTCGACATTTTGTGAATACAAAGGATTTATTTTTTAGATAATAAATTTAATTAAAACCCCCATCATTTACAATGAATTAATTATTAGCATTATGAGCTTTCTGAAAATATCTAAACCTTTTAAATTACATTTGAAAGGATAGCAGAAAGTTGTATTTGGTCGGGCCTTAGAAATTTTTTTGAATATATCTAAATTTATCAATTTTATATTGAATTTTCTATGTAAAATAAAAATATTTGATTTTATTTATTGAAACTAAACGACATATAACATATGTCTTTTATTTTGAGTAATTATAAAAATTAATTCTATATTTAAATAAATTCGGGCCGGGTCGGTAAATTTTTTTAAAAAAATTGGGCCGGGCTTGAAAAAGTAGGCCCGATGCAGATCACTAATTTCATCTCAAAATTTAATAGATAACCCCCCAAAAAATTTATCCTACCCCCCTCGAGAGAAATAGGATGCAAACTGTTCCTACCCACCCCCCCCCTCTCCGTTCATATAGGCGCTGGTCATTATCCATATATATGCTAAAAATGCATAAATGTTACTATTTTCTTTCTTACATTTTGGATTTCGTCTATTTTAGATTTTAGCTACTGATAATATTCTCACTATTCCTAGAGAGTTGAACCTAATATTGACTCTTCTGAGGGTTCAGTGCATTATTATTGTAAAAAAAATTTTTGTTTTTATTTAAAAAAACAACTTTGTTTTAACCCCTCTTGATGATTGTAGAAATTTTGATTTATCTATCATTGCCAAACAAGGAAAGTGG